TTTGTTTTTATGAAGAAAGAGGTAGACGGAGTGTACCTCTGAACATATAACAGAAAAAACTGACAGCTATCCAAATTTGAATTGAAATTTTTAGATTAGGATTGAATTGACTATTTCTTTCAGGATGTTTCGGATAGTTCTTCAGATCAGGGTGACAAGCCTTCTGGTGGTGAATCTAGCGCCTATATGTCAAATCTTGCATTTCCAATGTACCAGAACATTCTTTTATCTAATCCACAGGTGATTTTGCTTTATTGTTGAACTTTCTAGTTCGTTGATTATTAGCTCTTTCCGCTAAAGGAAGAGACTTGGTTGAAGTGCTTGAAGGCATGATGCAAATTTACTTGTTCAAAGTTAGAACGGACAGCAGTTATGTTGGCAACGTTTGAAAATGAGCCTTTTCTGTTTACTAAAGCTGTAGTGTGTTAGGTGATGCCGCTATTTTCGCCATATTTCCCGACAACAATTCAAAATACACAAATTCCATCTCCTACGCATATGTATCAAACACCTGAGAAGAAAGAAGCTTCGGCGAAAAAAGTAGTTTAAATTTCAAATTTATATTTATTTGCTACTAGGCATCAAAAGCGTTAGCTTAAGCTAATTATTCAGAACAGCTTGTCAAATGAAAACCAAGGAACGTTTTGTAGAATTTTATTTTTGATTATTTGCTGTGAACTGTTGCTTATAGTGCTTATATATGAATAAGATACATGGCTTATGTAGTTTTCCTAATGACACTCTAAGTTTTGCTAGTTTTAATCTTCTGAAATTTAGAATAAAGACGACAGGACTCAAGAAGCAGGACCGTCAAATTCTTCAATTATTAGGAGATCAACCAGGATTGCTGGTGTTCCTGTAAATAGTGAGTTTGAGTTTAAAAGGATGTCCTTTAATGAAAATCCAAGGCGATCGGAAAGGAAGAAAAACAGCCCTAAAGCCGGCAACATTTCTCCTCTCTCAAAAGTCTCTGAGGAAAGTCAGCCTTTCAATGATGGGGCGGGATCTCTACGAAAGCCAAAAGACCTCAAGTGAGTCAATTATTTCCTTTTAAACTTGTTTAAGAATTGTATTTTATAAACAATACAGGGTTTAGCCATTTTGAATTTCTAGTAATTGGCTGTTCGGCGAAAGGTCATACATTTTTTATTTTGTATTGTGAAAATTCGTATAATGTGTCGTACTTATATCACCTTAAAATTGAAGTCTTTGTTTTAACATTTAGTCGAAAAAGTGACTTTTGATATAAGTATAAATAGGTTATCTAAATTGGAAGCTGTCAAATCTGTTGAAAAATGAGACCTATCTTGGTTTTCAGAAAATTACCCGACAAAGCTGAAACTTCTGCAAAGAATTTGTTGTCACTAAATCTTTCACCAACCAGAACAACACTGTTTGGTGAACGTTCGTCACAGCTCGATATAAGCTTACCAGCTGGTGATAACGGAACGAAGTATGTTTCATTTCTGAGGGTAATTTTGGTTCAGTGCTAAACAGAACTAAGAAATGTACTAAAAACAAATTTCTCATGCGTCTTGTTTTAATACAGCTTTTCGATTATGTCGATACTGGTTTGATTAATGCGTCGTTCATCAAAGTGCTGTGTAGCAAAACTAATTGACTGTCTTTTTCTGTATAGATAACAAGTGGAAGATTACACCTAAGTGTAGAGTACATCACGCCAAGTCTTGTCTTTGTATCAATGTTTTCCTTTCCGTTTTCTCACTTCTAAAGCCATTTTGATTGAAACGTCAGAGTTTATCATATTGGATTTCAACGGCTGTCTACGGCACCTTCGTATAGTTTTCAAACTGCAGGATATTATTTCGACGCATTCCGGATTAATCGATTCTACGACATTACCATTACTTCTTTCTGTTACTACTTAGTTTGGAGGTCTCTTAGCGTTCAAAATTTTGCCAGTTAAACTGATGTTTTCTACTGGAGTATAACGATGGAGGCCTAGCCGCAGATACTGCAAACAGTGTCCTTAGTTAACAACGACTACTGTGATCGTTTTTTTCAATAATAAGACGTGATATAAAAAACTTCTGAAATTTTGTGATACAACTGCTGGTAACATATCTATAAAGAACCAAACAATTGTGCTTTGCAATCAAAGTTTTTTGCATTTAGATTTTGCAGACTGTTTAAAAGAAAACTTTTTTACAAAAAATTGTTTGCTGCAGACAGTGTACAAATGATTTTTTCAGTCTGTTACAAATAAACAACTTTAGGAATGTTCAGAAGAGAATAGTGTCTCTGAAAAAGTTACAGAAAAAGCAAAAAAAAAAGGAAGTATTTTTGCAGTTATGCTTCAGTGAATCCAAGCAGTTCGAAAATAAGACGGTCAAGCTTTTGTGACAAAAATGTAGAACGAGTGCTCGCATCAAGCACACTAGCTACAGCTATGTATCCGCCTAAGTCTTCTATTTCTATCGGAAGGGTTAATATTTTCCTCCGCTTGTAGAACGCTCTACTTGCTTGACGCCACTAACCAACTTAAAACATTTCTTAGATTTTCAAAATTGGAAAATTATCTTAGTCTTGTTTTCTCATCTCTACTAATAAGATTAACTTTTTGTGATGATTAAAACACTTTCAAAGGACGAAGAAGATGACAGAATTTGAAAGAAAGAAAAAGTGAAATAAAAGCTAAATATCAAACAAAAAAATGATCACTGGATTCTATTTTTATGAGTTTTTGATAGCACATCCAAACTAAACTTCAGCTTTCCCGGCTTGTAGATATCGCTTTTGTTAGAAGCATAGATTTCCTTACAAAACTTCAACTTATTTTTTAATAGGCTGTTTCAGCCGGAGGTTTTGAAAAGGCGAATTATCAGAACTTTGTCCGTGGATATGAAGACTCCACCGACGTTTGGTGAACGACCTTCTGCGTCGACCGCCATAAGTCATGAGAGTAATCCCGAGTTAAAAAGTAGATCTTTCAAAGGCCGGCTTGGAAAAAGTGACGGAATTGGACGGTCTTACACTATATCGGCTGATGAGTCCTCATCGATGACCCCAGCCGACAGTTCAGAATCTAAAGTTCAGTCCTCTTCAGCAACTGACGATGCTGAAAAATCTCAGAGGTTTGCTTACAGTGTTTCTTTTTGTTAGTGAAAGTTTGTTTTTATAACTTTGCTGTCTTGTTTGGCAAATTAGTGTGGTAAATAGTACAAGAAATAATGCACCTCTTCGTTGTTAAGCTATATTCAATAAGACTCAAAAAACGTCAAATCAGCTGTCATAGGAGAAGGGCTGGAAAGAAGTAAGTGTAAAGGCGTTATGAATTTTAGTTTTTTCCTTCTTTTTATTCCAAAATCTTTAGTAAACCCTTGGAAAACAGAATGAATAAATGTGGTGTAAAAATTTATTTGACTGACTAGACAGTTCAATAGAGGCTAAAAAAATATTCAAA